CGCTGCGCGCCCGACGCAGTGCCGGGCTGCTGCGCGCTGTCGGTCCCTTTTTCCACGAGGAACCTGCTGATCTCACTGATGTTGTGCAGCTGCCTAAAATTCATCGCAGGCCAACTCAGCACGGCTCCTGCTGGGCTCCCTTTCGTTTAGGGGGGCACATTCAGGGCATGCTGCTGCTGCAGACCCCGCCTGCACCAATCCAGCAGTGGGGCTGGGTGTCTGGTGCGTAGCCTCTGGGGGCTGAGACCCTCCTCTGAAATTTAAAAAAAAATCTGAAAAACCCTCTGTGCTGCCTTGCACAAAACCCCAAGTAAACAGCTCTGTAGCACTAAAATAACACCATAACTTGCAAACTGCCCCGTACTGAGGGTGCTGCCCGCGCTGGCCTGGGCGCACCCTGAGCAGAGCCCCAAGGCAGAGCGGCCACGGGCAGCTGGTGGGAGAGAGATGCCCATCTCCACACCACATCCCTGACGAGGTGCCCAGCACTGCCTGGCCCTCGTCCCACCCCGGCTGCCACCCGTGGGACCCCTCTCACCAGCTTCACCGCCAGCTTGTACTTCTTTTCTTCTGATGTCGCATTGGCTGGGGCAGGTGGAGCAGTAGTTTGGTTGCCCACAGCGGTTTGGTCATCTGCAGAGGTCTCGTTGCCCACAGTGGTTTGGTCATCTGCAGAGGTCTCAGCTGCAGCAGTTTGGTTGTCTGCAGCAGTTTCGTTGATCTCAAAGATGTCCAGGATGACGGGGTTGTCTTTGTCATGCTCATCGATGAGGACCAGGGGTATCTGGTACCAGAGCTCTAGGTTGAGTGGTGGGGAGCTGCTCTCGCTGCTGTTCCACGGCATGGGCTGCAGGATCCTCTCCAGCGCCGCTTCGATGAGCCTGTCCAGGTCTTTCAGCAGATACTTCACCTCTGAGTATCTGCAGGACAAAGAGCAGTTACCAGCCAGTGTCAAGGTGGTGGGGACGTGGAGCACCTTGTCTGCTGTTCCGCTGGCGTGGACCTTCCTGGGGACCTCAGATCACTGCCTAAAGATTGACTGGAGAACGACGGGAGCCTCTGTGCAGGGCACGGCCAGCTCAGGCACGGGCACCTCGGGCACGGGCATCCCCGCAGCCTGCAACGGGGTGGAAATCAGCGGGAGGGTGAGCAGAGAGCGCTGCGGCGGTGAACGGTGCTCTGTCGGCGCAGAGCCGAATTGGGAGTATTTCGGTCATTCTCTATCGTTTATGTGAAACACCTCTGGCAAGCAGAGAGAGAAAAACCCAAATTCCTGTGTGTCGGTCGAGAGCATCTTGCCTTGGGCCACGCTATTGCATGGACATAAATTTGAAGGAACTCTAATAAAAATCAGTTACTCCTTTGAAATTATGATGGAGTTCCATCGCTGCAGCTCCCGCCGATACGACTGTTTAACCAGCTCTTAATGGCTGGAGCGTAAGCGATAAGAGGTGCGTTCCCGGCGAGGAAGGAGAAAGAAAGGGATTGTGGGGAAAGATCAAGAGACTGATTTTGGTTGTGACAAGTGAGTTGAACTTCGAGTTTTCCCTGAGCCAGGGAAAGTCTGCAGGGAGGCAGTAACCGTCGTTAGATTAACAGATACAGTGAGGAACCCAGGGAAACTCGCCGGCACACCAACCCTCCTCTGGACCTGAGCTGTTCACCTTTATGTTCTCCATTATTTGGTTTTTAGTGCCACTTGGTGAGTCCAAGGATCGTTTCCATAGATGCTCCTAACACGACATCTGAGACAGGAACAGGTCCACAGCACCTTACAGCACCCATGGAGCTGAGGGTGTAGGAGCACAACTGGGTAACTCAGGTGGAGAAACACTTACTTGAAAGGGTTGGCGTTGCAGACCGTGACTGCTGGGAACTTCATGGTCTTAAAGCCAATGGAGAGAGATGACGTGACGTTGTAGGAGAGGTAGGTGTTGATGAGGATACCCCACTGCCAGAAGACCAGAGATGCAAAGAGCAGCGTCAGGAAGAACCAGATTAATTTCTTCTTCGGCCCCTCTTTGATGATACGCTTCGGGCCGTGGGTGTTGGTGTTGTCGCAGTACCAGACCAGCAGCTCCTTGTAGGTGTAGCCGGGGCCCTTCTGCAGGCGGTGCAGCGCCCGAACGAAGTACTTCTTGAGGTTCATGCTGCTGTCTGCAAGTGGGAGAAAAGACATCAAGCCAGCTATGCTGAGAGGTGAGGTTTGTACTATGCCAAGGGTATCACAGAAGGGTTTGGGTTGGAAGGGACCTCAAAGCTCATCCAGTTCCAACCCCCCTGCCATGGGCAGGGACACCCTCCACTACACCAGGTTGCTCAAAGCCCCATCCAACCTGGCCTTGAACACTCCAGGGATGGGGCAGCCACAGCTTCTCTGGGCAGCCTGGGTACTCGTGTTGTCAGCAAAGCAGAGCTGGGGCAGTTCTGTGATGGCATGACCGTGGCTTTATAACCCGGGAGAAACTCAGAGCGGACGTTTTGCAGGGTCACACTGTGGCAACGAGAAGACCCGGAGCCCCTCACCTCCTGCGAGGCTACAAGGGGCAGGTTTGTGCTTTGCAGTTCCAAAAGCAGTTAACGTTTTTGTCACGTCCCTTCTGGGGTCCCTTCTGGCCCCACGAGAGTTAAGTGACTCGGACCTGCTGGGCATGGCTGTGCCCGGTGGCTTACTGAGTGCCGGCCCGGCCCGGCAGATGTTGCAATAACTGACCAGACAACTTTTTAGGAAGTCGGTGCTGGGTGTGCAAACAGGTACGTCTCTAACATCGTCTGAAACCGTTGCCGACACTCGGTGGACCAGGCAGGACGGACCTGAGGCGGGTTCGGGTGGAACGTGGGCCAACGGCGTTGGGTGCCCGAGCTAACACCGGGCTCAAGGCGGCTTTTCTTAACAGCAGAGAGCGTGACAGCGCAGCCGGCTGCCGGAGCGCGCAGGAGGAGAGGACCTGGAGCCAGCAGCGCCTTTCCCAGGACCCGGAATGCTGCTCAGTGCCGCTGCCCGCCAGAGGAAGGACAACAGATTGGTTTTTTCCACCAAATTCCTTTGTCTTTCAGATAGTATCGGAATGCTTCCCCTGCTCAGGTGAGGGATGCTGCATATTTCACATTCATATTGTGAGTAAATAGAACATTTTGTGCGGCTGTTTCCAGGTGAGAATTTGTGTTACTAAATCGTAATATCCCGAGGCAGGATTTCCAAACAAACCCGAGTCAGCTGCTTAGAACATTTTTCAGATTTAAACTGTAGAACAGAATTAAAGATTAATGCTGCCTATAACTCAGCATCCTAGGAGAGTGCCGAACTAACGCAGCAATATTTCAGTAACGAGCAGTACTCGGCAACGCAGACACTGGATTAACACGACGTTACTCGTAGCTGGGCTACCAAAGGTGCAAAAGGAAGCCGAAGGGTGCGCACGGGCCTCTTGGGCAGAGGGAGCAACTGTGCCCTTACTTTTCAAAAAAAAATAAAGGTATTACTGATCCACGGCCAGATCTGCAAAATCTCCTGCGTAGCGTACGCAGAGGTTGGTAGGAGTATAAAGCCAGCAGATTTATGATGTCTCACTCCATGATGCAAAGAGAGACGATGATTTTCAGTGCACACCCTGTTACACGTGACATTAGACACAGCCCAACACCACGAGGTCTCGATGGATCGAGAGGGCTTCGGAAAGGAGAAACTCCAGCTGCTTCCCCAGGATTTGAAGGCAGGCTCCGCTCTCGTGTGAAAGCGTTTT